AATAATTAATTAATACTACTATTCAATATAATAGTCTGATTACTTTAATAACTAGTGTTCTACACAGATTTGGATTGATCTGAATCCAATTTGAATCTAATAGATCAGATTCAGATCAGATCTATTATATTTAGATCTAATTCAAATTTGAATTCAGATTATATCTGATCTGTTAGATTCAGATTCAGATTCAGATCTGATCCATCAAATTTAAATTCAGATTCAGATCTGATCTGTCAGATTCAGATTAGATTCAAATCTAACCTGTCAGATTTGAATTTAAACTTTTTAAAGTTGAAAAGTTCCTTTTCAATGAAAAGAAACGAATTTTTAGACTTCTTTAAAGTCAAAAAATTGTTTCCTTTCATTAAAAAGAAATGAATTTTTGAAATTTTTTTAGAGTTGAAAAGTTTTTTTCATTAAAAAGGAATGACTTTTCAGAATTCTTTTAGAGCTAAAAAAGTTCCTTTTAATAAAAAAGAACGAATTTTCAGAACTCTTTTAGAGCAAAAAAGGTCCTTTCAATGAAAAAGAACAAATTTTCAGAACTTTTTTAGAGCTGAAAAGGTTCCTTTCAATGAAAGAAACAACTTTTCAAAACTCTTTTAGAGTCAAAAGGTTTCTTTCAATAAAAAGAAATGACTTTTTGGAACTCTTTTAGAACTGAAAAAGTTTCTTTCAATGAAAAGGAATGATTTTTCAGAATTCTTTTAGAGCTAAAAAGATTTCTTTTAATAAAAAGAAACAATTTTTTGGAATTTTTTAAAGCTGAAAAGATTCCTTTCAATGAAAAAAAAATGACTTTTTAGAACTCTTTTAAAGCTAAAAAGGTTCCTTTTAATGAAAAGAAATAACTTTTTGGAACACTTTTAGAGCCAAAAAGGTTCCTTTTAATAAAAAGGAATGACTTTTCAGAATTTTTTTAGAGCTGAAAAGGTTCCTTTTAATGAAAAGGAATGACTTTTTAGAATTCTTTTAGAGTTGAAAGGTTCCTTTCAATGAAAAGGAACGACTTTTCAGAACTATTTTAGAGTTGAAAAGATTTCTTTTAATGAAAGGAATGACTTTTCAGAACTTTTTTAGAGCTGAAAAGGTTCCTTTTAATGAAAAGGAACGACTTTTTAGAATTCTTTTAGAGCTGAAAGGTTCTTTTCAATGAAAAAGAATGACTTTTTGAAACTCTTTTAGAGCTGAAAAGGTTTCTTTCATTGAAAAGAAATATTTTCAGATCTCTTTTAAAACTGAAAATTCATTGTTTTAATAACACTTTCAGATTCAAATTTAGACTTAAACTGATCCATCAAATCTGGATTTGAGATTCAATCTGTTAGATTTAGATCAGATCTGAATTTTAACGGATCTGTCAGTTTTGAATCAGATTCAGATCCTGAAAAATGAAAATCAGATCAAATCAGATTTAGATAAAATCTGATTTAATCTAATTTTGCAGAATACTAGATATATCAAACATATTAGATATATTTAATATATTAAACATATTTGATTTATTTGTTATATCTATTTATATATTAAATTTAATATAAATAAAAAACGATAAAATCATGTAAACTTTAGTTTGCTTTTAATTCACTTTTAGATTTCCTTTTAATTGCCTTTGAATATACATTTAGTAGCATTTTTAGAGATACTTAATCTAACCTTCACACTTAATATTTTTAGTTTTTTAATTTCCTTTATTTTCTTTTTTATTTTTTTATTTCTTTATTTTTTTATTATTTTTTATCGTGAATAAATATATTATTATATTATTATAACTCTAAAATCAATTGAGTTGTCTTATTTTTAGTATTGTTAAGAATATATCACTATGTAAATTATAAAAACTTGAGTTAAACTAAATTGAGTTATTACATAAACTTAAAAGAATTATCATTCAAATATCCCATCTAACTGTTATAATTTGCAAGGATTACATGTTAACATTACTTCTTACAAGTTGAAAATAAAGACAGATGCTATCTAAACCTCATTATTTATTTTTTCTTTTTTAATATCTAATATCAGATTTTCAAGAGCATTCAGAATTTTATTATACCAATTATAACTTTTAATCTCATTATCTGACTGTTCATTAACATCATCATTTAACTGTTTATCAGTATTATCATCTAAATCTATATTAGTTTTATCATCTAATTCTTCAATTTCTTCAGTAGATTTTTTAACATTTCAAAAGGTATGTAACTTAAAAGTGCCTCTTGCTACTTTACGCTATTATTAATTCTTTCTTCTTTTAGTACAGTTTGAGTTTCTTATGTAATGTAATCTATGTATTTTTTGAGAAGTATGTTCCTAATAATACTTTTTTGCTACTTCTTGAAGTTTTTTTTACAATACTTATAGTATTATTATTTCTATTAGTTCATCATGAATAGAAAAATTATTATTATCATAAAAAGAAGTATTATTAATATCAGAATTTTCAATATCATTATAGCCTTTTAGCTCATCTTAGAAAGAAATATTATTAACATCAGGATAACTTTTAAAATTAGATACGTATCAATATTAATGTTATTTTTGGCATACTGATGCTTAGCTTTTTTTGTCTTACAAGTTTTTTTAAGTATTTTTGATATTTTGTTAAACGTGACATATTGGAATATTACTATATAGGTAAGTTAACTTTTTTATTATTAATTGATATTGGTTTTTATAAAAAAAAGATTTTTCTAACTATAAAATGCAAAGTATAAAACTTATATTTACCTTAAAAAAGCAAAACTAAGTTATGTGTATTATCTATATTATCTACCAATTGGTTAATATATTTAATACTGTGAAATCTGTTTAAATTTTGAAAGTTAAAATTTTAAAATCTATTTATTGCATCCTATATATAGTCATATTTATCATACATTTTTTATGATCTAAGCTAATATTAATGTGATAAATAATTTTGATTTTAGGATTTTATATTAACTCAATATCACAATAACCTAATAAATATTGAAATATTTTAGAATATACTTTTAAGCATTTTAACTGATAATATCTTTATTATTTTTCATTAATTATAAATACATATATAATATAAAAATATGAATTCTAATCACTATAGTGACTTTCAAATCATTTTATTATGTGAAATATATATGCAAATTACAAAAATTTTCTATTATATAATAAATGATCAATATCTCAAATTTAGTTGCTTAAAAAATTTTTAGTTGAGACTAAGTTGTATAAATTATTTAATTATATCTAAATTATTTAGTCATATTTAAATTATTTAATCATCATATCTAAGTTATTTTATTATTAAATAATCTAATCTGAGCTGATTATGATTAAATAATATAATTATATTATTTAGTCATAATTGGCTAAATAATATATATCACTATATATAATTTACTATATAATATCTGATTTAAATATGAAAATTTGAAAAAACATTAATAAAAAAAGTAAAAATCTAAAATTTTCAATAATTTAGTTTTTAAATTAATTTTAAATACATAACTATAATTGATCAATTAGACTAATAAAAAATTTTATTAAAATTTAGATTTTTTCTTTTTTATTAATTATTATTTAATTCTATAAAGAAAACTATATATTATTTTATATTAGCAATCAAATTCACAGTTAGATCAAATGAGATATAGTTCTATTCTTTTGTAAGTTTAATTTTTAAACCTTTAATTGACTAGATTTTTTTATATTAATTTTTATTAACTGTTATATATTTTTTATAAAAATTTTGATCTAGAGATATTAATAGTTAAAAAAGTATATCAATCTTATTTTCTTTCTTTATTTCTTTGTAATTTTTGATCAATCTTTTAGATCATTATTTTCTTATAAGTTTTAATCTATACTACTTTAGCTAAAAACTTAAAGGTAAAAGTCAGAAAATTCTGCTTTTAAATATTATATATAAATTTAGCATTAAGATTTCTTTAGAAGCATATTATTTTACTAAAATCTGAAATAAAAAAATATTTCTAAACATGCATTTTTGATGGATATTTAATAGACTAGAAGACTTTTTTCTTTCTGATAAACTGCTAAATCTTTTTTTGAAATAAATAGCTAAAATATATTTTTATTTGTAAAAATCATTAATTCTAATCATATTTTCTATATTTTTTTGCTTATTACAGCTATTTCTTCTAATAGTCTTTTTTTATTAATTTATAGTTAAAATTTTTTTCAATAGATTTTTCAAAAAGTATATTTATTTAAAATAAAAATTTGTTAAATCCATTATTAAACTTATAACTCAAAAAAATTAAACAAATTTATCTTTATGATTTTTAAAAAGTGATTTTTTTACTTTTTAAACAATCTTATATAAATAATAAGAAAGAAAAAGATAATAAAAATTTTCTTAATTTAATTAATATTATAAAATCATATAAAATCTTTACAATAGAAAAGAAAAATAGCTGAAAAAATAAAAAATGAGTTAATGTTAAATTTGAACATATTTTGACAAAATCATATTTGACTTATAAAAGTAAAATTAATTTTTTCTAGCTATTTTTTCCCTTTTTATTGCAAAGGTCCTATATGATAATATTGTTATTGTTAGTAACTTTACGTATAATCAATGATTATATGTAAAGTTACAATATAATTATTCAGTCTTAATCATAATAAAATTTTATTTGCTTTTTTCTCTCTTCCTCTTCTCCTGTCCTTTTACTATTTATATATTTTTTATTATGCCAAAAGCAAAATAAAAACTATTTGTAAAGATATATATTATCTTTAAAGCTATTTATTTTCAAACAATTTTTAGCAATATTTAAATTTTATTTTTATTAGCCAACTTTTAAATACAGTAAACTTAGTATTAAAGAAATACAAGCAATAGTTAGTTCTAGCTGTTGTTCTTCAACTGATAAGTCTACTAATAACTAAATTATACAATTAAAAAAATTTTGAAAAGATATAAATTTAAATGGAAAATTGAAGAAATTGATAACGAAAAGGAATTTGAAGAATAAATCATTAAATTTATTGTAATAATGCAAATAATTAATGGAAAAGATTATAAAGCACAATCTGTCAAAGTTGGAGTTTATGCTATTGCATGATATTTATTTGAACATTTTATAATATATCGAGTAAATATATTAAATCAAGAGAAATTCTATAAGTTATAGCAAGTAATTAATGGAAAATTTAAACAACTTGTAAAGCAGGGACTAGGTGAACGAAGAGCTGCTTTTTTTTTAAGTGAAAGTAAAGTTGCTATAATTTTTAAACATTCTCAATTGGATAAATCTACACCAGAAGGATTATTATATCATGTTTTTTTTAGAAATGCAATTTTTTTATTACTTAGAGGAGATGAGCATTATAAATTATTAGCATCAAATTTTAAGAAAAAGAATGATAGTGGTTTTACTGTTTGTTTATATGAATCAAAAGCAAATCAGAGAAATATAAATCGATCTGAAACACAAGCTAATATTCTGTATATCTCAGGTGATGTTCTTAATATAATATAAGATTACGATGATTATTTCAAAAAAAAACCAGTTAATGCTGATTTGCAGTTTTATTTACAGCCAAATTCTTTAGAATATGGTAAATATTTTATTATTCTTTTAATTTTATTAAAATTTAATTTTATTATTTTTTAATATAGTACAAAGGATTGGAAACTGGTTCAAGAAATCACATATTGGACAAAATCATCTTTGTTTATTTATGAGTGATATATATGCAAAACTACTGGTATCAATATTAAAGATTGTTTTATTAGTAACCATTCAAGATGAAAAACTGGTGTTACAATTTTAAAGTCAAATGGTGCTTCAGATCCAGAAGTTATAGCTTTATCAAGACATAAAACTATTAAAGGATTAGTAGCATATGAATGAATTCGCAAAGTTTTACAAGAAATTAGTTCAAAATTTTAATACAAACTATGGTGCAAACGGCTTAGTCACATCCAATAATTTTCAACGATTTTAAAATGTAAAGGAATTTTATTGAATCATACAACTATTAAAAAGAAATACATTATCAGATAGTTTTTGATATAGTCTTTAAAATAATGTATTTTTTTATTCATTTTATTATAAAAAATTTTTTTAGTTAGATTTTTTTTAATGCTAATTTTAATAGCAATAGGAGGATTTTTAGTGCCATTGGTATTACGTGAAATCAATATGATTAGTTTGTATTATTTGTATAATCGTATATGATTGAATAAAAAAATTTTTTTTTACATATCACTGAATTCTTCTAAAACAGTTGTGAGAATCCTATGATGAGACCGATATCGCTTAACTGTAAAGACAACCACCTTATCTGAAAGTTCAAGTTCATATGCACTTATGTAACATGCAGAATGGTGTGAAAAATGGTAAATTTTTGTTAGGCTAATAGAATCTAATGCATATAGTACAACATTCTTAAGGTGCTTGAACGAATAATTGCAGTGAAGACGTAAGTACTACTTCGCTTTCACCTAAAAGTACTCAATATAATTAAGTTTGCAGTGGAACTTTGGGTAAAATATGCACATATGTCTTGCTGCCTCAATAACCTAAAGATAAGTATTTTAGTTATATTTGTTATATTTGAAATAATGAATACTAATTGTAACTTATCTCCTGTAGGTGTATCTTTTATGATGTAAAGTCAGGTTAGGCAGAAAGAATGCGTGTTATGCAACAGTTCAGTTTAGTTGAATCAGGATTATGTTGTGTATATGCATTATATTTTCTTCTTAAACCCAGTATTCACAAACCACGCTTCTTAAGAACCCGTCAGATACCTTTGAGTTTTACTACATCATCAACATCTGTAAATGTCATGATGTGAGGTGAGCTATCAGGCATTTTACCATTACGAAGGAGTGGCTATTTTTCACCATCTTTTATGTTCATTCTTGAAACTATTAATGCATCTTCAGCAAATGTATTGTGGTTACAACTATTATCGAACATAAATAGTGCAACTTTTTCTAAGTGAGTATATTCAAATATTAGGATGACTCGTTCTTTTACTTGCTTAATAATATCTTTGTTTGTCCACTGGCTATCATAATTCATATTAGAATACATTATAACGTAAGCTTCAGTATACACAAGTCGCTCACTATTAGGAAGTGAATTGTTAATAGCACATTCTTCTTTTGAGAGTTTGAGTCGTCTGATAGATTCACAGAGAAAGTCACTTACATGAATGCTAAGACCTTACGATTTTTGACAAATTTGACTCTTATCCGCTGGATCCTAAGCTTTAGTTATATCATCATTGGTATAAAGATCGATTCATCATAAGTAATGAGAATGATCTCAGGAGCACTGTGCAGAAGTACAGGTAATATGATTTGATCTAAATTCTCACCTTTGTAAATAGCCATTTGTTTTTATAATTATGCCTATTATTATAAAAATTGATGCCTATCTGCTACTACATCTTCACACTCATGACCATCAAAATAAATGTTTTTTGAGTGGTCTTTATATTTCCAGCTGAGCATATACAGCTATTTATGTGCAGTTGTGTATAAGATATTTGTTTTTTCTTCTATCCCAAGAGTAGGAATAACCTCATTCTCAAGAAATTTTACAAAATCAGTAATATTCAATTCAAACTTATGCACGCGTAAATATTCAATAACTTATAATTTAAAATCTTTATGAAGAAGAAGAGATCTAACTTTTGCATAATGACCACGTTTGGATATAACAATCATACCATTATTAAGCCATTGGTTCGCCTATAAATGGATAAGTCATGCTTGCCATAGACCCTTGTTTAAGCTCTGGGTAAGAAGATTACTTGCATCCATCTTGGTAAATTTATGATCTTGAATAAGATAGAGAAATTGACTTACTGTTCTAAGTCAAAAATCATCTTTTTTTTTTTAATAATAAATCTAGAGATTTCAAAGTAAATTTGTTATCATCATCACTGCTGTCATATATGTCTTCAAATGTGAGAAATGTGGAGTTTATTTTAGGTTCAGCAGCTTCATTTGTTAAAAACATTTCAGTGATCTTTTTAGAACCCAAAGCTGCTTTCTTCAATATGCCTGTTTGTTGCATAATATTGATTGTGCAGCACTATTATATACTGGTCTATGTGAATTTAAAGTCTAAGCAGATGACAATTTTGCATTTTCAACTAGTTGTTCTAGTGTATTTGATTATAATACTTTCATTTTAGTAATTTCATCATTATCAAAATTCGTTTTCTCACCTTCTATCTAAAAAGAATTAAACCATGATTTATCAAGCTTATCAGTATCCAGTTTAGTATCTGATAACTTTAGAGGCATTTCTTCAGGATTTTTTTACTTGTTTCTAACACTTCTTAATAGCATCCTGAGATTGTCTAATACGTTTATTTGCTTTTGGCATTATAATTCTATTTAAAAAAAATGTTAATAAAACAAAATGGCGTAAAATAACGTGAATTATCAATAAATTTAAATATGTTCACGTGATTAAATTAGTCATGTGTTAGACTTTCGATCAATAAAATTTTGATTTTAATTTGGTAATGATTGGCACAAATTTCAGCGGTGGCTTAGCCATTTGATGCGACTAAGCCATTTGCACCATATTTCTAATGTAACACAATCTAATAAAATTGGTAAATATAAATTATTCTATAATTTAATTATTTTAATTAAATTACAAATTTTAATAATTTTTTTTTTTTAGATAATCAATTAAATCAAGCCAAAAATTTCACTTCAGCTCTTTCTTTTTATCAAGATTTATATTTTATCATTTTAATTTATGCATTTTTTTATAAAAATTAACCAATCTTTATAATCTATAGAATCGCAAAAAATTCACCAAGATAACTAAAATAATAATTTTGTTGAACATAACAGTTCTGTATAACAAACTTCAATAAACGAAAGTAAATTTATGGAAAATAATTCCTCACTTTCAGCTTTTTTAAAAGATAATACTTTCCATAATTGTTCTTTTACCTTTAATATTAATAATAATTATTCGAAGCGTAAGCGTAGGATACTTCCATTTAGATTCCAGATTATGTATACAATGCCTATCCACATGCGTGTATTGCCCAATCATATTGCTTGATCTTGTATTATGTATAAAATGTACTCTTTGTTTATTTTCGCTAAACAATAAACAATTAGATTCTGTATGATGTATAGTTCTCTGTTTATTTTTGCGAAATAATTAATTGTTTTACTTTTTTGATATAATTTATTTACGTGACAATTAATTATTTTTTTGTTTTTTGATGTTTATTTTTTTTTTTAATAATATATTTAATGCTGATATTTTTAATACTTTTATAGATTTTGATATTCTTTAAAAATTTTAAGCTGATATTTTTAATATTTAATGTTCTTTAAAAAAAATTTTAATTTATTATTTTTTTTTTTTTATATAATAAAACAATAAATATAAAAGAAATTTTTGTTGTATGTAATAATAAAATAATAAAAATAAAACTTACCTTTGAGTTATAAAATAATCGTTAGTTACAAATCACATTGTATATTTGCTGATATTAAACGCTTAAAAGATTTTAAATAAAATGAATATACAACCACTTCATGATATATTGCAAAAATGAAAAACTAGGGCGAAAAAGAATTCTAATCAACGTAAAATTCATCGTGCATGTGATAGAAAGAATAAACGTGTGAAAAGAGCTGTTGAAACTGCAGAACAGCATAAATTACAATTGAGAAAGAACTGTGAATGATACCATAGAAAAAAAGAAACCTATGTCTTAAGAAATATTGATAAGCGACTCAATAGACAAAATGATGAAACTCTATTCTAAGATACTGATGATAGACAACAGGATAAAACTCGGATCCAAGATCCTGATGAATGCTATTTTTCTGAATCAGACTGAAAACTTTTACAAAACTTTCGTTCAGAGATTAATAGCTTCACGAATAATCTTTGTCCAACATGTAAAGAATGTTTCCCTTCCATCAAACTTGAACGGAAAGGAGAATGTCATCATTATCACTTTGATAAAAATCCATTGAAAAAATTTTCTGCTGCTAACAACATAGATCCAGGTGATGTCCCAGACGAACTACGAGATCTTACTGAAATAGAGAAAATGTTAATTACGTATATCTTTCATATTATTTCGATATATTGTCTTCGTAGTGGCCAGTATGCATACCATGAAAATGTTATTAATTTCCCACAAAACGTGGTAGAGTTTGCAACATAGCTACCTAGGAATCCTTTATCTCTTGATGTACTTGTTGTGTAATGTCAGTCTGCAAACAGATTAACATTTAAAAATTTTACCGTTCGTCGTACTAAGGTTACTTATGCATTATATTGGTTGAAATAAAATAACCGTTATTATGGAGATATTGTAATCAATGAAGAAGTATTGCTATCCTTACCTGAAAATGGTTCAATAGGTGATCACCTTCCGCGAATTGAGGATTCAGAAAATGTTTTTAATGATAATGATGATGGATCTGAAGAAATAATAGGGAGTAACTTTGTTCTCATTCCTCTTCTATGTCCTAATGAAGAATGTGCTATTAATAACACTTTTAATAGAATACAAGATAATGAACCTCCTATTATGTGGCTGAATATAGATGAGAACCCTATTAACGAATTTCAAACTCCTGGATACATCGCATATGCCTTTCTGACTCTATATCCATATAAAAATGCTGATTTCGTTCAGATCATGTTAGAGAGATCAAGCTCGCTGAATATTTTTCATATTTATTAAAGTATAAAAATGGAAGGTTCGCTCGTCATCCTCGTTGGAGATATTTTGCGCTAAATTTGCAAATGCAATGGAGAGCGTTGCAGGAAGGCAAAGTATACGTTAAGCAAATTCTGAATGATAAACAATATACTGTTGAAGAAGTACAAAATATGGT